TTTTAATTATTTTTATTTACTCTTTGAGGTCTTTTATCCATTGCTCTGATCAACAATCTTCAACCTCTTTAATCCCAGTTTCATTACTAAGGTTTGCTTGATTTATTTGGGTATTTATCAAATGTTGATTTTCTAGTTCAATTCTATTATTTAGGTTTTTGGTACTTTTTCTTTCTATACTTCTGAGTTGCTTGATCTATTTATATTTTGGGTTTTAGATAATCTGCTTTTGCCTTTCTTCTGATTATGGGTTAACTTCCCAAAATCAATTTTACTGAAATACTATTTAACTGAAATCACAATACTGACGTCCCATTTTACTAACAAGACATAATTTTGAAAATCTCATTTTATCGAAAGTTCATTTAACTGAAAATAAATTTTACCGATAAGTCATTTATCTGCAATTTTTATTTTACTAAATATTAAAAAAATGAATGCCTATTTTACTAACATACTATTTTACTGAATAGTACATTTTTTTGATATTTTATTTCTTCGAAAATATCTTACTAAAAGCTCTTTTATCAAAAGATGTTTTACTGAATTTATTAATTCTGGATCACTTGATAAACCAAAATAGTTCTACTACAAAATTTGAAAGCCACTTTTCTGAAAGAACATAATACTTACTGGCCAGCATTATAACTAATACCGGCTAACTTTGTAGGTATTAGATATTTTCAGGAATTTGTTTTTCAGGATTTTGTAGATTTTTACTACAAAAATTATAAAACCATTTTCTCAAAAGTACATAATACCAACTAAATTGGCCAATATTATAACCACTGCTAGCTAACTTTGTCAGTATTAGATCCTTTTGGAAATATGTCTTTCTGGATTTTGTGATAAAACCATCCAAAAAAGGTATATAGTGATTCTTATATTGTTTTTTAAATTAAACAGAAAAGTTAATATCAAATAGCATTAAGGGAAAATTGCATAAAGAATTATACAAATTTGTTCATCAAGAGGTACCTTGTTGAGAATTTTCTTTTTGGCAAACAGCTTTTGGAGAATAATCTTTTCAGAAAATTATTTTTTTGAAGAAACATCCTTTCAAAGAAATATATCATATAATATTTGTCTGTGAATAAGTTTTAAAAAAAGCTTTTGTCAGAGAAACAGGAGTTTAAAGAAAAGGTTTTGTCAGTAAAAAAGTCTGTTAAATAAATTTTTTTTAGAGGTTCAGGTTGTTGAGAAATTGGTTGTGTCGAGAAAAAAAATTTAGTAAAAATTTTTTTTAGTAAAATATACTGTCAGAAATATGTCTTGTTAGAATAAAAGGATTTCAGTATTATGGGATCGAGGAAATAGTATTTCAGGAAGGCAAGTTTTAGAAAAGTAAGAATTAACACTTTCTTCTAGCATATTATTAATTTTTTTGAAAAGAACTGTTTTGTTAGCTGCTAGTTTATACAATTAGCTAGCTTTTTCCAACCTTTATTTATCAAATATTCAGTTGCTGAGAGATGAGGTTTCACTTTTTTCTTTTTAACTCTGTTTTGTTTCTCTTTTAAGTATTTCTCTAACAAAGTTGTAAACTTTTCCTAGTCTTTATTAGATATTTTGTCATAAAGATATATTTCGTGTTAACTAGAGTATCTTCTATATTGTTCAGCAACCAAATTAGGAAGTATTGGGCTTAAAAGCACCTTTGCCTATATTAAGTTGTAATCATTACCTGTAACTAGATCTATATCTTCAATGTAGAGATGGGCAAAATGCAATATTTTCATTTTAGCATGCATGCATGTTTTGGCCAAAGTTATGATAATACTGGCCAGAATTAATTGCATGCATATAGCAGTCATGCGTATAGTGCCCATCTTTACTTCAATGTCACTGTCTATTATAAGATCTTTTATTGATAAATCTAGCTATATATAGTTTATTTTCGAGTAATAGTTATTGTTAGACCAGGTTGCCTTGAAGGTTTGAGAGTTGATAAATAGATAAGATTCTGTATAGCCTACTCTTTAAAGCCAATTTAGTAAGAGAAGTTTATTATATTTGTATTCTGAGATCTTATTATCTATATATTGACTAAGAGTAGTATGAAAATCTAGTTTAGTATTAAAGTCTTTACCTATTAATATTCTTGTATTTGAGCTACTCTTAGTAATGTCTTCTATTAAATATTGCTAAATCTTTCTTTGCATATCTTTGCCATTTGGTGAAAAATATACTACCCAGATAACTAATATTGTTTTTTTAAATCTAAAGACTGCTTTTAATACATATATATTTTTGCACACTATTTCAGTTAAATATGTTTGCTATTTTTTCCCTACTAGAATACCTATACCTGAACTTTTTTTCTTTTCTATTTTATTTTTAGACCAGAAAGCTCTATACTGCTTTTAATTTACTTTTAAAAAATCTGTATTTTTTATATTAATATTTGTTTTTGTTACCTCTATAATATCCAAATTTTCTTTTAAACCAAATTCTATAAACTCTTGCAATTTTAACTAATTCTCTTTGAGAAAGTAACTAAGATATGATTTGATTACTGCTGCTTTCATTTCTTTAAAAAGGTTCTACAATATAAAATAGTATACTAGGTTATGTACTTGATTTTGGGGCAGATTACCTTTTTAGAAGCCCAGGCTGAATTAAAAATATCTTCATATTGCTTAGCTTTTTTATTACTTGTTTGGGCTACCAAATTTGTTTTTGCCTGAGGTTTTTGCTCAATATACTCTTTAAAACTGTAATCAAGAATGCTAATTTCTTTTTGAACTAAAGCCTTTTTAACTATCTCTACTTTGTTTTCTTATATATAAGTCAACAGTTTTTGTTCTTTTATATTTAATATTTTTTGATTTTTAAACCTTTTTAAGCCTTTTAAATAATATTAAAAAAAGAGTGTTGCTATCTTGCCCTTCTGGTAATATAACCACTCTACAATTTACTAATTAGATCACAGGATCTTGTATAATAAAATAAAAAAATTTAAAAAAATTAATATTATAAAATTTTATTATAGAAACTAGCTTTGGGCTATTAAGTAAAAGTTTTTAGTACTTCATTTTATATATAAATAATTTACACTTTAACTTGATATAGCCTGTATTCTTTAAAAAATAATTTATTTATACAGTATAAAAATTCTATAAAAATAAAAAGTGGTTAAAATTAGTTAAATTTTTAAAAAAATAATAAATTAAATTATAAAAAGCTTTTAAACTAGTGCTTGGCAAAATCAAACAAATACTTGATTATTAAGTTTTTAAGTTTATCAATTTACAATATTGGGCATTAAATACAAAATTTATTTTTAGTATATATATAAATCCAATCTTATTTTAGACTTCATGATAACTAATATAATGTTTAAAGTTAGATTAGAGTAAAAATAATTGAAGCACAATACTATAAATCGATAAATTCAAAAACTTAATTGAGTTTTTGTTTGATTTTGCCAAGCACTATTTTAAACAAAATAAAAAACAAAAAATCAAGTAAAACAGCTATGTTAAATTGCAAAAAGAAGTACTTTTACTATTTGTTAATACAGTATATTTGAATATTTCAGAATTGTTTCATTATTGTTTAATTGGTTGGTAATTATTAAAAGTAAATTTAGAACTTATGGCTTAATAAATATGTAAATCTCGTAGCTTTTTACATATTTAATTATAAACACAAAATTAGTTAAAAAGGCTGTTTTTATAAAAATTCGCTTTGAAATAATTTTAACAAATACGTCTTCTAATAAGTGAAAATCCGATATACTGCCAATATCTTATAAAAAAACCTTATAGAAAATTTAAATTTGATCTGTGCGGGCCAAATTTAATGAACTTTTTTTTATTTGAATTTTACGGATTCGTAGAATTCGAATTTGGCCTGATAGTTGTTAAGATACCTTCGCTCAAAGTTTTAAAATTCAAAATATTTATCAAAAATTTTCTCAACTTTGAACAAAGGATTCAATTTTGATAAATTTTTTTTATTTGATCTATGAATCTGTAAAAATTAATAATATAAAAAATTAATTTGAATTTGGCTTGATGGTTGTCAAGATACCTTCGCTCAAGGTTTGAGAGAAACTTCAGTATAGCTTTTGCATATATCTGGGCATTCTTAGAATATATAAGTTAAATGAGAGTCGGATTGTGTCTAAAAAAGCTCGGACATCCAAAAATGCTACAACACTGCTTACAGTAGTTATGTAATTTTTTATTTGTTTCTTAATCTTATGAAAAAAAAAGTATATACAATAGCTTACTAGATTAATAAAAAAGGTTTTTTTTGAAGAGACCTAATCTCATAAAATATACACATGCAATAGCTTACTAAGTAATAAAAAAACCTTTAAAAAGAGACTTGATATAAAAATAACGTACGGAACTATAGTTCATAAATTTAAATTAAGAACGGCTACGGATCCAACCTAATATAACAGTAAAAAGTCAAATCTCACGAGCAAGCAGGTCGATCCATTTCTAATAACACAAGATGTTGAACAAGCATACTGTAGTGATTTAAAAATGGTACTTTAATAAATTTATTCTAGTGTTGAGATACAAGCTTCAACTACAGTATTTTATATGAAAATTTGTTTTGACATCTTGTAGTAAACGTTATAGTTTGATTAGAATCATACTACGGTATCTTGTAGGTATGTACAATTTTTTAGAGTATATACTATTATTTAAATATAACGATAAGGAATTAAACCAAATAATAATTTCATAACGCAGATCTTTCTTACAATGTGTTAATGGAATGATTGTTCATGTATCCAATAAAAAAATACGGGCAAAAAAAAATTAAAATTCAATATATAGGAACTAATAATGTACGTGTAATTAAATGCTATATATCAGTAAATGTCTAAAAAATTCTAATAATTCTACAAAGGTACAGCTTTATAATTGGTATATGATCGCATTCCAGTCGATGCGTGTTACATCCGTAGCGCGTTTCAATCCTGATTGACGATACCAAATTCGGAACTTTCATGTGTTAAAAACATGAAATCATGACGATTACGCGTCACTAATAGATGAACGATGTTTACGTGCTCTACGGCACCTAATCCATTGTTCAACATCAAGTCTAAGTTTTACACATTCAACAAATCCATAGGCCATAGTTCCCCGTTTTACCTCTATAAAACCGAAACGATAAAATATTTCCATTGCTGGACCTTGCCAGGTGGAAGTCAGAACACTCAAACTTTTTGCATTCTTTTTATGTATAAATTTTATCGCATGATTCAATAACGCAGTAGCGATTCCTTGCCGTTTATAATTTGTAGCCACGCATAAGTGCTTTATATGAGGTGCATATGGTTCAATAATATATTGCTTTTTTAGGGGATCGTCATCTTCACCGTCCACGATTTCCAGAAAGCCCACCACTTTATTTCCGGCATCTTTATCCACAGCAACCCAAAATTTCGCAATACGATCATTATGAAATGAATCGACAGTATCGACAATATTCTCTTGTGAATGAAGTTTATCAGTTTGTTGCTGTACGAAATTATTGCCGTATTTTTCTAAAATTTTAGTCAAATCAGTGTGAATTGCATGTCGAGTTTCGTAGGAAATTGTACTTGTTATAATTCTTCGAACATTAACGTAAAGGAAAAAACCCCAACCGCAAAATACGAGGAGCATAAACAGTAAATGTATATTGCTATGATTCTTTACGGTAAAATAAGTTAAACCTAACCATAAACAAAGAAGATAACGATGCTGCATGATATCACTGATAGCATATGGGACATTGCTAATAATGGAATAAAAGAATTTATAATTATTTAGATGAGAACGATTTCATAAAAATGAAAAAAAAAGTAAAAGAAACCTACTCCATCATTGAGTTAGCATAAATCCTTTGAATTTCATCGTTGTCCTTTGGTTGAAATTCTCGAATTCGGATATGCTCAGGAAGAGAATTTGAGGAATAATGAGGTTTTTTACCGTCTTTTCGAGAAACTTTAGACATTGTTTTATATATATATTTATATATATTTTATATCTAAGAAATATTCACACAAAAGAATAAAGGTTAGGCAATTCAAGAAAATGGTAGTGAGAAAGGATTTTAAAGTTTACAATAATTTATATTAAACTTTACATTTTAGACTTGTGTTAAAAAGGACTTCGGGCTGAAAAATGAGGCGACTGGATCAAATACGTATTGTACACAAAATTCATGAAATCCAGCTGACACGGTATAACTAACATGAAACATAAAAACAAATTGTAAACACAAATTTGCCAAAAACTTTGCTTTCAAATTAAGAAAAATGGTGCGAAGCATCTTTTCAAATGACTGTGATATTTACGCAATGGTTACACGAAGCTATCCATATTGAGATATGACGAGAACAATATATATATATCGGATTTGTGGTATGTTACCTGCATAACATAATTCTTTACAATTTTTAAATAGTAAGATGGTCATCTGCAACAACGTGACGCAACGTGAATTTCCCCCGCATCAAAAAAAAGTTAAGTAACCCGCGCATAAGAATAGGTCATTTGATAATTGCAGTCAATGACTATATGAACTTTGTCAAAATTAACGTTATGCAAGGCACAATTAACGTCATACCGTTTTTATCCGAAACGCTTTGGTCTTAATTCTATAGTAATGTTTAAAGTCGCGTGATATTAATGAGTGCATTAAAAAGTTGAGAAAAGAGATTAAAAGTTTCAGAAAACATTATTTAATCATAATCCGTGGCTCGAAGCATCTATCAGAGTTAAAATTATCTGCAAAGGTTTGTTTGTGTTCCATCTAGTTTAACAACGGTTCTGTATAACCAGTTGATCTTTTCTACTAAAGTCATGTCGTATAAATGTGTAATAAACAATCGAGACGCCAATGTTTTTGCGTATAAATATTTGTGATCATTATTTATTGGCTTACGGTAACTTTTGGAAGTATAGCTTGCAGGTCCCATTAACTTATTCCTCAAAAATACACAAAGTTTAGACAGCGATAAAATTAATTGGGCCGCGTGTACGCATTTCCGAAATTTGAGGTAGAAGTATTGCAATGTCAAGATGCGAATTTAGAAATAATTCCAAAGTATTTATAACTAGATTATCAAACTTTACTGATCATAACTTTTTAATGCTGAAAACTAGAAATATAAACTTTGCAATTGGCAAATTTTCATTTTTGGGTGCATGCAGTAATTGTTCATCTTAAAAAACTTAGCCTAACTAATAATCATATCTTGTATAGAATTTCTCGGTCATTCATCTATTAAAGTTCTAAGACGCCAATAAATTTAATAATCTTAATAATCTTAAATAATATTGCATATTATTGGCAGGCTAGTCCATATTACTGTATTATAATAATTATCGCCAAATTAAAAGCCCGACGGCATACTCCTAATAATTATTAAATACTTACACTACTCTGATGTTAAACTAGTCATGTGATTGCAAAAATTTCATTATGTGACGCGTTTGTGAAATTTAATTGCCCAAGGTACAAAGTGCGTTATTTACTATTGTCTTTTCTTTTGAAAATTTCTTATTGCAAATCACATAAATATATCTCACATTTTTTCGTGAGAAAATAGGTCATATGATTTGCAATAAGAATTGTCGAAAAACAATAGTAAATAATGCATTTATACTGCTTTCAAAAGAGTTTAATGCATATTACTACTCTAAAAAAAGCCATGCAGATGTAGTTTGATATTAATTAAATAAAGAGACTAGCCTACAAAATAATACCTTCAGAGATGGGCAAGATAATTATGTAAGTAATAATTACTTATTGTTTTATTCAGTATTTACGTATTATTACCAATTATTCCTTATTATGATCTTCAAATTAATCTGGTGAATTTTGCATACATCATAATTTTTTACTGATTATTATTTATTACGTAAAAAAAAAAAATAGAAAAGATAGATAAAAATAATATGCAATAATATGTAATTAACTTTGCCATTTCTACTTATTGCGGTTTGCAAAAAGGCGTGACTTCATAATTTTTGTGATGATGATCGAGGGAAATAGCTAAGGGTCGAAAATGTGTCGGAAATTAAATATTAATTATTAATCGAGCTTGTCATTAAGATAAGCAAGGTAGTTTATTACG